ACTGAAGTATTTTGAATGTTTCAAGATGACTTCAGTAGTCTGAAATTGACTATAAAGCAAAGTGATCCAGTGGCTGAACACTGTTATGCTTCTATGTGGTTGTATCAATATAAGTGAGAGCTCCTATGGGTAATTTTAATATAACTGTTGAAAAATGTTTGATTTCTATTTTTAAAAAGGAATAAAGTAGACTCTCAATTGTGGAGTGAATATTTTCACTTACTCATAACATTGCACCTATTCTTAGCAGTAAAATAATGAGCATATTAACTGGATGGCTTTGGAGAAGTTTAGAATTATTAGTTTTTTCTTTATTTTTAAGATGCTGCCATCTAGTGAAATTCTTGTGAAATTGCTTTGGAGTGATCTCATTCATCTGTATCCTCTGGTCCTTTCCTCAAACAGTTAGATTTAAATAATTTATGTGTTTGCCATCCATGGGGAAAGAACTGTACAGGCATTAAGGAATTTTGTAGAAGCTGCAAGCTTTGTGTTTTGTGTTTTTGTTTTTTTTTTTTTTGTAATGTAATGCTGTAGATGTGACCACAGGGTTTTTAATAACAGGATAAGGTAGATGAGGTTTCATGGATTTTTCATTGTACCATTCTTTATAAACAATTGATAATAAAATAGAGGTGCTGTCTTTTCTATTCCTTGAGTTTTTTGTTTGTTTTTTTTTTAGATTTATTTATTTATTTATTTATTTATACAAGCAATGGGTACAATCAGAAGCACGGGAGGGTAAGAGAATTCACCAGAGCCAGAGGGGATAGCAGAGCAGGCAGACTGACGAAGTACACTGCTGAGGGGAGCAGCGGGTGGCAGGAGAGGTCTGCGCTCCATGTGGGACTCTCGCCTGGCAGCTGGGGATCGAACCGGCGCTGCAGAGGTTGCGGACAGCTTCACCACCCAGCGCTCAACCGCTGCGTTACCAGGGAGGCCCCTATTCCTTGAGTTTTCTTTGAAAACTTGAGTTGTAAAGATTGCTTCATAGGGAAAAAATATTGCTTTAATTGGAAATGATGTCATGCGTAAAGGAGAGTTTAAAATTCAGAACTTTTGTTTTTCCCAAGTAGAAATTAAATATTAAATATGTATCTTAAAATACAGACTATGTGTGTGTCAACTAAACATACACATTGGTTTGCAAACCCAGGTTTTGATAACCTCTAAATCTTGGTAAAGAAATTGTACTTCTTTCCTATCACATTTATATTAGCATGTAACATCTGTCATATTTTTATGTCATTAAGAAATATGTTAGGGCCTCCCTGGTGGTGCAGGCGATTAAGCACTGCACTGTGAAGCTGTCTGCAGCCTCTGCAGCATGGGTTCCATCCCAGCAGGCTGGCGAGAATCCCACATGGCGCCGCAGACCTCTCTTGTCTCACCCGCTGCTCCCCTTAGCAGTGTATTTCGTCAGTCTGCCTGTTCTGTTCCCCGCTCTGTCTCTGGTGAATCCTCTCACCCTCTCACACATCTGACCTGTACCCTGGTTCTTGTATAAATAAGTAATTCTAAAAAAAGTAAATATGTTAAAAATCCCTTACTCTCACCCCCCCCAAAAAAAGTTATGTAATACAAGTAAGAAACTTTTCTTTTATGAAATGCTAATTTTGGTCACATTATGAGTAAGGTTTCTAATTAACTAGTTCCAACGTTTTGAGTTTTCTTTATGGAAACTAAAACTATGGGATAGTGCTTACCAAGTCTTTTCGCTAACAAGTGAGAGAGGAAATATTTTAACTTTGTCCTTTATAATGTCTGTGTTGCAGTTATTCAGTTCTGTTGGCAAAATCAGCATAGATAACATTTTTTTTAAAGATATATCTATTTATTTATACAAGCACTAGGTTACAGTCAGAAGCGGGGAGGGTGAGAGAATTCACCAGAGCCAGAAACAGAATAGGCAGAGTGATGAAATACATAGCTGAGGGGAGCAGGGGGCGGCAGGAGAGGTCTGAGCACCATGTGGGCCTTGCTGGCGGCCGGGGATCGATCTGGCACTGCAGAGGCTGTGGGCAGCTTCGCAGCACAGCGCTCAACTGCTGTGCCACCAGGGGAGGCCCAGCATAGTTAACTTTTAAATAAATGAAACTGATTCTGTTAAAAAATATAACTATTTATAAAAAGAGGTCATAGTTTGTCTCCTATTCTAGGAAAAGTACCTGTAATAGCAAGTTGATGTTTTTTATTCTTGAGAGATATAATAATGATCTAAAATTGGTCCTTCTGCAATCATTTACTTCATAAACTTCAGTTCATAGATGAATTTCTTCAAAGTTGAAGGAAATCTAATGTTTTGATAATATAATTATTATAGGAGCACTAGTAAGCTGGCAGTGGAACTCAGGGGTTAAATGTCTCTACAAAGTGAACTATCACCACTGTTTTACTGTTTTTAATGATCAATTTTTTTTAATTTATTTGTTTGATTATTTATTTATTTTTAATTCATGTTCATGTACAAAGGTGACTTACTAGAGAAAGATCACTATATTTTCTAGGCAAAACTTTTAACAATTTGATTTATGGAAAACTAAATCACTGATCATGAATCATTAAATTAAAAAGTTAATACTGGAGTACAATTTGGATAACACGCATTTGCTATTCCAGGTTGTCTTTTTGGGAACATATTGGAAGCACAGGCTGAGTTACTACTCTAAAACAGTGTGAATTCTACAGTGTGATGCACAAAAATAACTTGAAATTTGATAACAAATAAATAACACAGAATTGAGTCAGATATTTACAAACCTGTTGTGTCAAGTCAATGTAGAGATTGAACACAGGTGGAGTCAAAGTTAACTTTGAAAATGTCTCCCAAACAACATCATTTTTATGGCCCAATATATCAGTTGATCCAAGCAGGATTTCATCATTAGGGTCTTGCTAGTCTTAGCTGAGATTACTCAAGCATCTGTGGCCAACTAAAAGTACGTGGGGCGAAAAGCTGAGGCAGACTGAGCTCCATAAGGTGCCTCTGATCATTTCTTTCAACTTCTCTTTTCCTGGACCAATAGATCAGTGCAAGCAGGACCTCACAGAGATGGTAGAGAGTAGGAGAGAGCGGATATTAGACAAGACAAAGGAGAATCACTAATGCAATTTACCATTGTGTATATGGACATTGATGTTAATTAAATCAGTCAAATTTAGTCAATTTGATGAAATTACATAAGGGCATGATGTAAGATTAAGTGATATACTGAAAACTTTTATTAACTCTTTCAGATTGAGAGCATATACCAATGCAACAGTCCTCAAACTTTTTAGTAATGGAAACCTTTTACAATTTAGAAAACCATTGATGACCTCAAAGAGATGTTTTGGTATTGTATTTACCTTTACTGTGTTAGCTGTTAAAATCGTAATTTACGATAAATTTATTTTTGAATAGTAATAAAAACTCATTAAATAATCAAAGAATTAATATTGCTAGAGAAACAAAATATATTTTTTAAATCAAAAGAAGATGTTTTATATTAGATAAATTTCTTTATTGTTTGTCTTAGAGGACAGTTTTTTTACACATGCTTCTTCATTCAATCTCTTGATTATTTTTACCTTGGTGAAACATATATAAATAGATCAATCCTTATGCAGATATGTAGAATTGGTTTGACTGTCCTTAGAGTTACTTGTGGACTCTTTGATATGCCACCAGAATTTGACAAGTGAGAAATTCTTGGAACTTGTGGTGTGGAGTTGAAACAAAGTCTTTGAACTTTCTATAGGTGGTTACATTAAAATCCACTGGATGGTTTTGCATTTTTAATAGGTCTTTTATTCATCCATGATATGTAAAATAAACATTAAACATTTGAAAAATATTGGTCCACTGAGTTAACTGTGTTTCACAAATATGTGTATGTTTCATCATATATTATATAAAAGATTTTATATGACCATTAATTTTAACAGATACATCTTTAAATACTGGAAAGTGGTCATACTCATAGTAGGTACATTTTTCTAAATTTATAATTTCTTTCAGAAGCTACTTTTTGTTGGCAAGAGATACTGAGTCCTTTTCCTTGAATGAAAGATTCCTTTCATTTCTCTTTAAAATAAAAGCCTGTCAAACATCCAGTTATGAATTATTATTGTTTGTCTATCAGTTGTTCTTTCATGAAACAGTGGTTCTCCATGAAATGAAAGTGGCTAGTTCAGCTTGCAACTCAAATAATTGCACAAATGCATTCCTTTGAGACACCATGCTACCTCAGTATGTGACCAGATGTTTTATGCACATTTCTCACATGAAACCTTATTAAGTTACCTTAATGCCTAAATTAAAGTATTGAGTTTTTTTTAAGATTGATTTATTTATGTATACAAGATCTGGGGTACAGTCCAGAAGTGCAGGGGTGAGAGGCTTCACCAGAGACAGACTGGGGAACAGACAGGCTGATTGACTGAAATACATTGTTGAAGGGAACAGCAGGCAAGACAGGAGAGGTCTGCTGCGCCATGTGGGCAGCTCCCTGGCTGGCAGGGGATCAAACTCATAGCTGCAGAGCTGTGGATTGCTTCATAGTACTGTGTTTAACGCCTTGTGCCACCAGGGAGGCCCTAAAACATTGCAATTTAACACAAATTTATTGCTTTTGCGTTTTTGTACAGAAAAAATTTAAATGACATCAACATTTTTTTTTTCCTGTGTCTGAATGACTTTGACATGCAGTTACTACTATTGGTGCCACTGCATTGATTCGTGCTAAAGTGCCAGAAGCTTTACTTGTCACTGCTTTTGCATTATCAGTGCAAATGCTAGCCCAATGAAGAAGACAAAGAATGTCTTAGTGTCGTGAAATTGTTTTGACTTGAATTTATTTTGATCTAGGAATGCCCAGAGTTTTATGGTTCATGCTTAGAACCATTGCACCAAAGGGTATTGATGGTGTAAGAATTTATCAAAGATTTTCTAAAAGATATTTGTACTACTTTTCTACTTATTAAGCAAATTGAAAATTAGTTATTATATTCTTCCTCAGGGTTGTTTTGTTGGCTTTGATCTAGCACATGCAGTTGGAAATGTTGAACTCCACTTACACGACTGGGGAGTTGATTTTGCATGCTGGTGCTCCTACAAGGTACGAACTAGTTTATATATACACACAAGCTTTTATATTCCACGTGACATTAATCTTATTAAAAAACAAGATTGATGGTAAATTTTAACTTTTGAATTACTTTCTCCATTCCTCCATTGCTGTATTTTCTAATTTATACCAATAGTAGAGACATATGATAGAACAGTCTGTTAAATGATTAAATTCTGTAATTTCCAGTCATTATAAAAATTTATTTCTTCATACCTAGACTGCTGTGAAAAATCAGGAGTTTCTAGAAAAAATGTCTCACATTTAGAAGTTAATTGAAATTGATTAGGATCTTAGATTTTTGTCACTATATTGTGAAATTTCTATACATGTAAAGTTAATTCTTATAGAATCAAATTTGCATTGACATTTGAAGATAAGTTAATTGACAGGGAGCATGGAAACAAAATTTCTAATTTTAATTAATACAGATGTTTTAAAATATACTTTTATTGTGCTTTAAGTTTTTGCTGATACATATTTGAATGAGCAGTGGAACTGTTACATAGTAGTTGTAAAATTTGGCCAAAAATGTAAATAGCCCATTTATTCTCATTTAATTATGTTATTTTTCATTTGTTTTTCTTTGAACAGGATAGCCCAGGAGTCTGTTATATTGTAAAAACTTTAAAACTGGCCAAAAGTTGACTTTATTAGAAAATCAAGTGATTTTACTGCTTACTTTTGTAAACATACATACTCAGAGAAACGCATATAAATTAATTTATTTTTAATCTAGTATCTAAATTCAGGAGCAGGAGGTCTTGCTGGTGCCTTTGTCCATGAAAAGCATGTCCATACGATTAAACCTGCGTGAGTACACACTTCATATTCTTCTTTGGTGATGAATCAGTTAATTTGCATTAAGATATGGTAAATTTACATGAGTTCTTTAAGATAATATCCAATAAGAAACTGAATTGATTATAATTATTTTACTACTCTATTAATAATGATGTGCTTTATGAGAAATAAATGCTTTTTAAAGAGTTCAATTGACTGAACAAGAAATTTAATCACAAACAGGGACGCTTCAATGCCGAAAATGAGTCACTGTAATCATGTTGAGCAGATGGTTTAATGCAAAGAGACTACTTTTTTTTTTTTTTCAAAAATTAGACTTTAGAAAATTTCAGATTCCTCGCATTGATGAATAAATCAAAGGCAACCAGAGCGGTGCCTAATGGAGCCTTAAATGTGGTATGTTATTATTAAAATTACATCTACCTTTAAAGCTAGAAACATTATATGATGGTCTTGTAAGGAATATCTTCTGTCCTAAAAGATTTTATAATCCATGAAAACTGAAGCAGCTGAACACTGACCAACAGACTGACTACATAAAAAGCAATACTTTTCTCTTTTGTATAACTCTCTTCATTTTCCCCAGCAAGTATAAATGCAAATGTGATACACCAACAAATTACACATTTTTATTTGACTGAGGAACTCGAGTGTTTCTTTTATTTTTATCTGGTGTGGAGATAATGAAATAATATTTTTGGAAAAAAACTTTTCATACTTGTATGGGAGTATGTGTGAGGAGGAGACTGTCTAGACTTCTAATAGGTAATATAATAATATTTGATTGGTTTTCTGAATCCTAGCCACTGGATGAGTAGTATAATCTTTATAAGAATTGAAGCTGAGATAGTAATAAACCTTGAGGCTAGAAATTTGAGTTGATTTTCTATAGCTCATTTAATCACATCTAAATTTTTTTCAAGATTCTAAAATTTTAAAATTAAATAGAACATTTTCTTTTGACAAGTATTTTATTAGGCAGACATCCATCTCAAATATAATGTCAGGACATTAGATATCCTTATGTACCTGCAGAGTATCGGCCCCAATACTCTGAAAAGTATATAGAGTATATATTGTATTATAAGAATGCCATAAATAACTTAAAAGGTCTCTTTTCATTTTTAGCAGAGCCCTGTGACAACATTTTACTCAGCAAAATTGTTTTCCATATATCACTTGCTTTTGTGTTAGCACTCACCACCCTGGCCGTGTATCACACTTATTTAAATTGTAATAGAGGATTGAATGTATCTTATCAACCCACAGGACAAGCCAGTGGGTGCAGGGATGTGTGTAGGAAGTGATAAGAAATTTACACAAACCAGAAAATTAAAGTGTTAGGATGCTATGATCTTGCACAAAGGTCTACTGTGTTCGGTATTTCTCTCATCATTATTTGTCCTTCATGGATGATGAGCAACAGAGAGATAGCGAAGGGGTTGAAGTGTCCTCACAGGTGCCTCATCATGTAGGCTCCAGGCATACTACTGACACTATATATAGGGAGTAAGTTTATGCCCAGGAGAAAGACTTTCTATGCCAACCAGATTCACAGTCCAGCTTGATCACTTCTTTGCTGGCCCATAACCTGAAGACTGTTCCTTGACGTCTCAGTCACCTAGTCTATAAGTACAGATAGTATGAGCATCTATCTCACAGGCAATCATTGTGAAAATAAAATGGGGTGATGTCTGTAAATCACTGTGTACCATCACTTAAGCATCATGTGAGCAGTACAAATACACAGTGCACATTCCTGGGTCATAGTGAATCTGCTTGTTAACCTGTAATTTTTGCATAGTAAAGATCATTTCTTTCAAGTAGAAAACAGAGCCCCGAAGGTTAGGGTTTGTGATCATTATGACATTGATTTTGTATCTGGCACCAAGTTGGTTTCAGCAGACCTTTAACAGACTGTACCCATTTCTGGAATTCCCACTTGTATGAACCTTACCATCTAAAACGTTCCTTCACAAAATAATGGGTTAAATGAGTTATTTTTTGTGTGTTCATTCCATATTTGCGTGAGAGTGATGCTTTTAATCCTTTTGTACTTTATTAAATACTGAACTTCAACTTTCTGGCTTTGGAGACTGACAGGAGTCAAATCAGCCTTGACTTCATGAAGGTTTTCTGTTGTTTGATTGCTGTAAAAACTTCTTTTTATATGTTGTCATGGTGACTAATCCAAGGTGCCTACTTTTATTTTTTTTTTTAAATAATAAATTTTATTTTTATATTCCCCCATACAATTGCAAACGCCCCATTCTGACCCCAATCCTTCCCCTCCCGCCCCCCACCCCCCAAAAAGTGTCTCTGGTTCATAGTTTTTTGTTGATTTTGATTTTCACTTTCTTATATTCATTTTCCTGGTCCCTTATTTAAGTTTTCTAGATTCCTGCTATGAGTGAGACCATCCGGTATTTTTCTTTTTCTTTTTGGCTTATTTCGCTGAGCATGATCCCTTCCAGCGCCATCCATGTTGCTGCAAATTGCATGTGTTTATCTTTTTTGAATGCTGAGTAATATTCCATGGTATATATGGACCACATCTTCTTGATCCAGTCATCTATTTTTGGGCATTTGGGTTGTTTCCAAAGCTTAGCTATTGTAAACAGTGCTGCTATAAACATAGGGGTGCAGGTGCTCTTTGGAATTGATGTTTCTGTGTCCTTTGGGTAAATCCCTAGGAGTGGAATTGCTGGATCATATGGAAGCTCTATGTTTAGTAGGTCCAGAAATCTCCACACAGCTCTCCATAGTGGTTGGACCAGTTTGCACTCCCACCAACAGTGCAGAAGAGTTCCTTTTTCTCCACACCCTCGCCAACATTTGTTGTTGCTAGTTTTTTTAATATGTGCCATTCTCACTGGTGTAAGATGGTATCTCATGGTAGTTTTGATTTGCATTTCCCTGATGACAAGTGATGTTGAACATTTTTTCATATGTCTGTTGGCCATTTGCATTTCCTCTTCAGAGAAGTTTCTTTTTAGCTCTTCTGCCCATTTTTTGACTGGGTTATTTTCTTTGTTGTTGCTGAGTCTCATCAGCTCTTTGCAGATTTTTGTGATCAGTCCTTTATCATTAGTGTTGGGTGCAAAAATGTTCTCCCAGTTGGTGGGGTTTCTCTTTGTTTTTGTTATTGTCTCTTTTGCTGTGCAGAAGCTCTTTAATTTGATGTAGTCCCAGCTGTTTATCTTTGCCTTCACTATCACTGCTTTGGGTGATGTGTCTGTAAAGATGTCTTTGATGTGCAAATCCCGTAGTGTTTCGCCTATATTTCCTTCTATGTATTTTATGGTTTCAGGTCTTATGTCTAGTTCTTTAATCCATTTTGAGTTGATTTTTGTGTATGGTGTGAGGTAGTGGTCAAGCTTCATTCTTTTGCATGTAGCGACCCAGTTTTCCCAGCACAAGGTGCCTACTTTTACCTAGTGGAATGTAGCTGCTATTGATGTAACCTTTACAAAGGAGACTTTTTTGCTTAAAAAAGAGTGACATCTAGTGGCTAAATGTGTTATTTCAAATATGTAAAAGCCACGTATTTACTTTCCAAGTCCTACCTGTTCACTCTTTATCAACTATTTTAAAGGTATATATATATATAATTTTTTTCTTTAATATCATTTTACCTTATACTTATAGTGCAATTAATATGTCAGGTCCTTTGATAAAGAGGACAAACAAGATGAAGGTGGCAGTGAAGGTAGGGGCATTCAAGGTGGTTGATTAAACAGAATAGTAACCTTCATCTAGACTGGGAAAGAAGGGCATTATGGGAACTCAAGGATCACCTGGTGTAGACAGTGGATTCCAATATTCACTTTTAATATTAGGCGTGCATTTTTTTTCAAAATTTTTTTTAAGATTTATTTATTTATACGAGAACCGGGGTATAGGCCAGATTCACGGGAGGGTGAGAGGATTCACCAGAGACAGAGTAGGGAACAGAACAGGCAGACTGATGAAATACACTGCTGAGGGGAGCAGCGGGCGAGACAGGAGAGGTCTTGCTGTGCCATGTGGGATTCTCGCTGGCCAGCGGGGATCGAACCCATGCTGCAAAGGGTGACGACAGCTTCACAGTGCGGTGCTCAACCGTCTACGCCACAGGGAGGCCCTAGGCATGTAATGTTGAGGTAACTTTTATTTGTTATTTCATGAGCAACTGGTTAATTACATTTGTTTGGAGGAATTCAATTCCCTTTTTTGTTTAAATTGGCATTTTGGCCATTGTTCAAAACTGATGACCTAAGGCTTTTCTAAGAGACTTTTGCTAATAAAGAGAGTGAGCAGAAGCCAGAGTCAATCCATTGCATTAAGCATTATAACTCAAGCTGTTATTCTCAACTAGAATTTGACCTTTACTGGGTTTATCATCACATTTTCTCATTTCCATTGTCATATTCAAAACCTTGTCAGTAGCTAAGAATTATACCAAATTAGGACTGGTTATGAATGTCATTTTATGTTTGGTTTTTTTTTTTTCTCTCAGGGCTGACTTCCATTCAGTCTACAGAGTTAATAATTAGTACTCTGAGATATGAGGGAATACAGTTTTAATTGCAAGAATTTGACAATCACAAATGCTATCACTAAAAATGTACTTAAATGCCTTGAATGCTCCTTTTTTAACTTTATAAATATTGATTTTCCTGGCATGATTTTGAACATGATTTTAGGTGATTCACAGATACCTAAAGCCCTTACTGAGATACCTCAACAAGTTTCTTCTGTTAGAGCCTAGAGATTTCAGTTCAAGACCACTACCCCTGACTTTTAGAGAGACATTATAACATAAATACAAGGAGTAGTTCATATGAGCTCTTAAAGTTCCTCCTATCACTTAACTTTTTTTAACCTGTCTAGTAAGATAAATCCTGTAAAACTGTTATTTCTTACTTTCCACTCTGGCATAACAAATGCTTCCATATATTAGACATTTTGAAATGTGAGTTTTGTTACCAGCCAGCAGTAGTGGCTTCTTGAATGCCTCGTGCAAGATT